GTGAATTTGTTGCGGGTGACAAACGCGCGAATAAAAGTATCGCAACGAGAAACTATGAAGTCTTTCGTGAGTCCGATCTGCACGAGTGGTACAAGCAACACGTCATCGAGCCTACCTTAGCAAAGCTGGAGGAATTCCAGGAACGTGATAGCGGATGGGCGTTGTCGCGTATACTCAATTTAATGGTAAACGTGAACAAATACAATCCGTTGCACGCGGGGTGTTTTGTGGAAATACCGCAAGAAATTAAAAAGAAGAAGGCGGTGATAAACGTGCGATCAATGGACAATGCATGTTTTGCATGGTCAGCGACGGCTGCTCTACATCCAGCCCAAAGAAATGCAGATCTGGAATCGTCGTATCCACATTACACGTTGGTGCTAGATCTTACGGACATTGAGTTTCCAATGACGTTGGATCAAATTAAAAAATTTGAAAATCATAACAACATCTCCATCAACGTGTACAGCATCGAGAAAAAAAACAAGAAACTTGCTATCTTGCCAATACGGGTTACTGACCGAAAGATGGACAGACACGTAAATCTTCTGTACGTGCATAACGACAACGTGGGACATTTTGCGTGGATCAAGAACCTATCCCGCCTCGTGAGCTCGCAAATCAACCGACACCATGGTCAGAAATACTTTTGCGATCGGTAAGTACCTATAGTTCTTTTAATAATATATAGAATATTTTGTGTATAAAAAATTTATAATATTTGCGTTTATTTTTTTTACAGATGTTTGCACTACTTCAGCTCCAACGAGAAATTGGCTGCCCACACCGTCGACTGTCAGGAGATGAATGACTGCGCGATCAAGTTACCGAGCAATAACGACAAGTGGTTGGCCTTTAAAAATCACAACAAGAAGGAACGAGTTCCGTTTGTCGTATACGCCGACCTGGAGTGTACCCTGGAGAAGATGGAAGCGGATCCGGAAACGTCCAGGTACACATATCAACATCATCGCGTGTTTAGCATAGGGTACTACGTGCGTTGCTCGTACGACGAGTCGTTATCTATGTATCGGTTTCGTCGCGATAAGGATTGCGTCGCGTGGTTCGCCGAGGAGCTAAGACGTTTAGCTCACGACGTAAAAACTATATTGTCCACTAATATACCCATGGCAGATTTCACGCGAGACGAGTGGGAAAAGTTTAACAGCGCAACGCACTGTCACGTGTGTAAAGAACCGTTCGAGCCAGACGACGTGCGAGTACGCGACCATTGTCACCTGACCGGTCGATACAGAGGTCCCGCGCATTCGAATTGTAACTTAAATTATAAAGATTCGCATTGCATTCCCATAGTGTTTCATAATTTATCGGGATACGATGCACATTTTATTATAACTGAAATAGCAACAGCATACGAAGGACACGTAGATTTACTCCCGATCACAAAAGAAAAATATATTTCGTTTACAAAAAACGTTCAAAGCACTGAAGATAAAGATAAGAAAACGTGCGTCAAATTGAGATTTATCGATTCGTACAAGTTTCTCACCGCTAGTCTCGACAAATTGGCATCTTATCTCAGCAAGGATAAACTGCGAATATTGCAACGCGAATTTTGTGAATTATCCGCAGAAAATTTTAATTTGCTGACACGAAAAAGCGTATTTCCATATGAATACATTGACTGCGTCGAAAAATTAGAGTACTTGTGTTTACCACCGCGCGACTCGTTTTACAGTTCATTGACAGGTGACACCGTATCCGAGAGCGATTACGCGCACGCCGTCGACGTCTGGCAGCGGTTCTCCATTCGAACGCTCGGTGATTACAGCGATTTATATCTCAAGACCGATGTCTTGCTGTTGGCCGATATCTTTGAAAATTTTCGCGATAGTTGCGTCGCGAGTTATGGACTCGATCCGGCGTATTATTATACTCTACCGGGTTTTACGTGGGATGCTATGTTGAAGCATACACACATCAATTTCGAATTGCTCACCGACATTGACATGGTCATGTTTATCGAACGCGGTATACGCGGCGGTTTGAGTCAATGTTCAAACAGATACGCGCTGGCCAACAACAGTACATGCAGTCGTACGATCCATCGAAACCGTCGTCGTACCTCATGTATTTTGATGTAAATAACTTATACGGCTAGGCAATGAGTCAATCATTGCCATACGCAGATTTTAAATGGGTCGA